ATCGAGAGAGGTATTACTACCACTCTATACAACTCTGGTGCACCCGCCACTGGAGTATTGTGTTCAGTCTTGGACCCCTTGTTACAGGAAGGATATAGCCAGCTTAGAGTCAGTGCAGCATAGGGCCACAAGGTTGGTGGCCGGTTTGCAGGGGATGGGGTATGAGGCAAGACTGAGGGAACTGGGTCTCTTCAGTCTGGAGGAGACTCAGAGGGGATATGTTGGCGACATACAGGTATGTGAGGGGGTGTCACACGGAGGTGGGTAGAGACCTGTTCTCCCCTGCAGAGGAAGGCAGGATGTGCTCCAACAAAGCTCAGGGAGCCAAGGTTCCATTTGAATGCCAGGAAGCACTTCCTGACAGTTAGGACCCCGAGGATGTGGAATGGGCTTCCACGAGAGGTTGTTGAGGCCCCATAGGTGAGGGTGTTCAAGGATAGGCTGGACATGTTCATGGTGGACATGTCATGAGCAGAGCCGGCTGGAGCCAGGGGTCAGACTAGATGGCCCAGAAGACCCCTTCTGACTCGCTCTGTTTCTATGTTCTATGTTTCTATGTTTCTATTCAAACTATGCAGTTCAACAAATCCACACCCTGGGAAAATATACTTCATTCATAATGCGCCACCACCATCACCACCAGACCCATTAGCAGTTGTAAATGTCCATTAATGATAGATCCAACACACGCACATAGCAAACTCATTGCAAAACACCATTTCTGGAGTTGGAACTCTTCCTAGTGCCCTAGATTCTCTCTGATCACATCTGTGTATGAGAATCTCCATCCCAAACACAACTAAGGTTTTAAAGTAGATTCCCCTCCTTCCAACCCCCTGTCACCCAGGAAGTCTGCAGAAGCTGTTTAACTTGGCACTACAGCTATTTATGTATGTGTTTGCTGGTCTGTTAAATTTAGATGCTGTACTACTGGCAAATGCCATCAGAGACATTTAAAATCATTAAAGCAGGCAAACAAACAAAACAAACAAAACCAAACAAAAAGCAATAAAGCAGCAAAGAAAATACAATTATAAAAATGCAGTATGATAGGTCTTTAAAACTGCAATGTTATAAAATACCAACACATACTATATTGATATCATTAAAGGGACAGCACTAAAATTAATAATCATACCAACAAGTTAACAATTAAATGCTTGCTGTAAAAGGAAGGTTTTAACCTGCCATCTAAATATATATGAAGAAATGCCAGATGAAAGGGTATTCCAAAAATAGGGAACAGAACATAAAAGGTTCTTTCCCTGGTAACCACTGAACACACCACTGTGGGTGGTGACACTTAGAGAAAAACCTCCAAAATTTGCCTTAGCAACCAATCATTCTGCTTCCCCTTTCCCACCAACACTTTTCTTCCATCTCCTCCACTTCACCTGTCTGTGTTATTTTGCTATTGGTCCAGTCTAGCCTCCTAAGCTACATAGCATTGAGGTTCCACTTCAAGCTGTCCAGCAAAAAGCCTTAGCATGTGCAACGTTTAGGAGAGCACTGCTGGCCCAAGTTCCTGATTAAACAGAAAGCCAACTCCTGAATCTGAAACTGAAATTCACTGTTTTTTATCCTTCCTTTTTATATCCCTCTTGAAATTCATAAATCTTAGTATTTTAACCTTTCTTTCCCTTGCAAGTTTTCCATTCTCAGCTTTCCACTCAACTTTTAATGTTGCCAAATCCCGTGTTTCCACATCCTGAGCTTCTCTACTGCATTGGATCTCCAGCCCACTTATCAGTTCCATAACATATTCCCCATTCTCTTATTCGAACATGAAGTGTCTCTGTCTCCATCTTTCTCTGTCTACATACCATACCAGGCAGTCCAAGGTTAATTGGGTTAATATAATAAACTTCTCAATTCTGTAACAAGGCTCATAGTGTGGGATAATCTTGCACGTTTTGTAATATAAAATACATTCAGAATCAGTATGATGTAGTGATTAAAATATTGGAGTAGGTCTCTGGAGATCAAGTTTGTAATAGCTATTTAGCCATGACTTTGGATCAGTACCTGCTTCTTAGACTAACATGCTTTGTTTTGTAAGTTGTCCTAGGCTCCTTGCAGGGAAAAAGTTGGGTATAAATATAATAATAAATTATGATGTGTATTTAATTATGTCTTCCCTGGTTTGAATGTAAAGTGCAATCATCATCCCACCCCCCCACCCCACCCCAGTGCACTTATTTGAGTCAAGAAGAATATTTATAAGGGATCACCAATGCTAGTTTCACTTTGTGCTTTTGATGTTTTGAAAATGAATGATGCTTAAACTGTATTTCCATGAGAACTGAAATCAACAATGCCTAAATAAAACTGTCATACTTCTCAACATACTAAGAATGTAAAAAGCTAAGTTTTTATTGGTTTATAGTAATTACCATACACTGAATCTGACAATGCATAATAGCAGGGAAGAAGATAAAAATGATACACTCTTCTAAACATATTAACCTGCATCGACATGAAAGCAGCTGCCTCTTTCTTAAGAAGTGATGGGCAGGTAAGGAATCATCAAGTAATTTGTGTGGAAGGCACAGATAAGATGTGCCAAATGCAATCTGTGCCTCTTTGCCAATGAAGGTCACCCAAGTGACTAGGGCTGTGATCCCATTCTCATATAACTGGGAATGTACCCCCCTGAACATTGCCCAAAGCAATCAACAAGACTTCCTTCTGAGTAGACCTGTGTAGGATTGTGCAGTAAACAGACAATCTAGCACATCTGAGGTCGCAATCTTAATCATATATATTAGGGATCCATTCTCATGGAATTCAATTTTGAGTGTACTTGATTAGGACCTCACTGTATGTTCCACTGAATAGAACTACTTCACAGAATTCAGCTATGCAGAGAGTAATTTGTGCTTCCAGGACTGTTGTGCAATTAATACCTATTAGGAAGCATGTGCCACTGGAAACAGTATTAGCATCAGAGGCTTAAATATCAACATACATAAAATCAGTTGCTTTATCTTAGGGACTGGTAAGTTGTACTGACTATGCACAGGAATCAGGCAAAAAATGGCAGTCCAAGTTCTTTTTATTTTGACCAATATGTTATGGTCCAAGATACCGGGCTGTAACTGATTGGCCAGAAGGTTGCAAATAATTGGCAAATGCTAGTTCTATGTAATTAACACAACATTCCTATTATTTTCATGAGCACAACATGTCACCGGCCCGACCCATGAACGTGGACACACTCTGGACCTGGTTTTCTCGACGGGGCAGGAAGAGGGTGGTCTGAGGGTGAGGAATTTACGCTTGACTCCCCTGTCATGGTCAGATCACTTCCTAGTGAGGTTTGTGCTCGAGAGCGACCTCTCCCTCTGTAAGGGTGCAGACCCGATTGTGTGGGTCCGCCCCC